TTTCCAAGGCCAGCTTGATGGCAAGTAGCTCTCAATTCTCTATATTGCAGTTCTTCTCGGTAAGGTTAAGATATTTTAAAAACACAGGAGTGCAGTTTAACCTGAAGGTCCATGTGCTAAAACAAGATTGCTCCACCTTTGTTGATGGATGTGTCCACTTTAACCACAAACTGTGTGGATCAGGATGGATAAAAACAGATGCTGCTCCACTCTTACAGCCACAAGATCTATGCTCATGGACAAAATGGAATGCTTCACAACCTCTGTATCGGAGATACAGGTGCTGGTCATAAAAATTAAAATATCATGAAAAAGTTTTTATTTCAGTAAATTCCATTCAAGAAGTTAAACTTGTATATTGTATATTATATTCATTCATTACACACAGACTGATATATTTCAAATGTTTGTTTTAATGTTGATGATTATAACTGACAATGAATGAAAACTCCAAATTCAGTATCTCAGAAAATTTGAATATTGTGAAAAGGTTCAATGTTGACACCTGGTGCCACACTCTAATCAGCTAACTCAAAACGCCTGCAAAGGCTTTTAAATGGTCTCTCAGTCTAGTTCTGTAGGCTACACAATCATGGGGAAGACTGCTGACTTGACAGTTGTCCAAAAGACGACCACTGGCACCTTGCACAAGGAGGGCAAGATGCAAAAAGTCATTGCAAAAGAGACTGGCTGTTCACAGAGCTCTGTGTCCAAGCACATTAATAGAGAGGTGAAGGGAAAGAAAAGATGTGGTAGAGAAAGTGTACAAGCAATGGGGATAACTGCACCTTGGAGAGGACTGAGACAAAACCCATTTCAAAATGTGGGGTAGATTCACAAAGCATGGACAGCAGCTGGAGTGGGTGCTTCAAGAACCACCATGCACAGATGTATGCAAGACAAGGGTTTCAGCTGTCTCATTACTTGTGTCAAGCCACTCTTGAACAAGAGAAGCGTCTCGCCTGGGCTAAAGACAAAGGACTGCACTGCTGCTGAGTGATCCAAAGTTATGTTCTCTGAAAGTACATTTTGCATTTCCTTTGGAAATCAATGTCTCAGAGTCTGGAGGAAGAGAAGCGAGGCACAGAATCTATGTTGTTTCAGGTCCAGTGTCAAGTTTCCGCAGTCGGTGATGGTTTGGGGTGCTATGTCATCTGCTGGTGTTGGTCCACTGTTTTCTGAAGTCCAAGGTCAATGCTTTACCAGGAAGTTTTAGAGCAGTTCTTGCTGCTGACCAACTTTATGGAGATGCACATTTCATTTTCCAACAGGACTTGGCACCTGCACACAGTACCAAAGCTACCAGTACCTGGTTTAAGGACCATGGTATCCCTGTTCTTAATTGGCCAGCAAACTCACCTGACCTTAACCCCATAGAAAATATATAGGGTATTGTGAAGAGGAAGATGAGATATGCCAGACCCAACAATTCGGAAGAGCTGAAGGCCACTATCGGAGCAACCTGGACTCTCAGAATGCCTGAGCAGTGTCAGACTGATCGACTTCATGCCACGCTGCATTGCTCTTGCCAAGATCGGATGCTTCTCCCCTCCCCCTCTGCTTTTGCTTTGCTGCTCTGTCTGTCTGTGGAACTGCTTGTGAGACTCTCTTGCATTTCTTCTGAACTATAATTATGGACTTTTGGTTCAGTTGGTCCCTCAACTCAATTTACAACAATTCTTCGAAGAGAAGACGGGCTTTAGGTGAGCTGATTTGCCCTTTTGGCATGCACACAACTGGATATCTCATCGACTTGGAAGACTTGATGATGTGTGTCTCTGATGCCATTTGTGAATTTTAAGGACGCAAATTTAATTGGATTTTCGATAACTGGTTCCTGCTTTTTGGATTTGGCTGGTTGCTGGTTTTTATCAATCAATAAATCAAGGAAGTCGTCGGCAGCAAATTTGGACCCGATCACACTGCTTGCCTTTATGATGGCTTGGTTCATGTCTCGAGAATCCGGACTCAAATGCTTTGGGCAAAATGGATCAGATCTTGGGGATTTTACTCAGGCACGTTCCTTCGGTGTGGCCATGTATTTTGGACATTTCGGAACCGAGTGGACCAACACAGACTCAAGGTAGATGTCATTAAGTTCTGCTTGTCCCCAAAACAACTGTTTATCTGAATTTGGCTCCCTTGGCTGGCCTTGAAGGCCATTTTATTTGAATCCGCTTGGAGAAAATGTGATCTGATGCTCACCACCCCCTCCCTGAGGAATTTCCAACTGATAACCAGATGAAACCAGCTGAATAAACTTTGTCGTCATTTCAGGACTCTTGCATTCTCATAGACGTTATTCTTGGCCATTCCTTGACATACCTCGAGAATGTTTATGGATCTCACCAGAGGACATTGACTGATTATTCCATCCTTATCAGAACTCTTACAGTGACCTCGAGAGCATCTATGAACATGCTCACCGCTCTCGGCTCCACCCTCTGCAGAATGTCTGTCACTATGTGCTTGTTTGTGCGAGGTGTTTTTTTTAATATTAGGGTTTTTTTTCTCGGGCAAGAAAAAGTCTGAGGACTTTTTTTGCCTCCAACTCCTACATGTGTCCATTTTACCACTTTTTTTTTCGTCTGTCCAAACAGGTCTCACTTGTAAATGAGTCTTTTAGGCGCAATGTGATTGATCTGTTTAAATAAAGGTTGAATGAATGAATGAATGAATGAATGAATGAATGAATGAATGAATGAATGCTCGATCCAGGCAAAAGGAAATCCAACTAAGTACAGAGTGCTGTACATGCTCATTCTTTTCATGTTCATACTTTTCAGTCGGCCAACATTTCTAAAAAAAAAATTTATTTTTTTTAATTGGTCTTTGGTAATATTCTGATTTTCTGAGATACTGAATTTGGGGTTTTCATTAGTTGTCAGTTATAATCATTAAAATAAATAAATATTTTAAATATCAGTCTGTGTGTAATGAAAGAATATAATATACAAGTTTCACTTTTTGAATGGAAATACTGAAATAAATGAACTCTTTCATGATATTCAAATTATGATCAGCACCTGTGCAGGCCAGCTACTGTTTTTTGTATAGTTGTAGGAGGGTTTAAGTCGGTTCTTGCAAATATGTCATTCGAGGTCTAACTTGGAAAGGCCAGAGTTTTAAAGTTTGAGACGCCTTTCTTGACCTTTTGAACGCCAAACTGATCTTCTTTGAGCAGCTTCCTTCCACTCTTTGGTGGCCAAACTACACACAGTCAGATTACGTTTGAAAACGTCCTTAAAGCGATGGTACTACCCGCCAGACTTGCGCTTCCCACTCAAAAGCTCTAAGTCGTATACACTGGAAGTCTACAGTCTTCCATTTCCTGGACGTGGCTGCACCATCAAGTTGTCCTTTCATCAGTAGAGCCTCCATGCCGTAAGTATTTGAGCGAGGTGCACAGGTGCAGGGAACCTACAGGCACCAAGTCGAGGGGCTAAGAGTAGACCCACACCAGCTCGGCGCCTCTCACCATGAGCAGTACCATGGCAACACCATGGCTGTGGTTAGCACTGTTGCCTCACAGCAAGAAGGTCCTGGGTTCAATCCCTGGTTGGACCTGGGGTCTTTCTGTGTGGAGTTTGCATTTTCTTCTCGTGTTAGCGTGGGTTTTCTCCAGGTACTGCGGTTTCCTCCCACAGACCAAAACCATGCATTAGACTGCCTTCAGGCTCAGGCCTCCCTTTCAAAAGAGATCTGTGATCTCAGTGGGATTTGCCTGGTTAAATAAAGGTTAATAAATGACCAACTCCAGAGTGGAATAAGGTCCAGCCCCTCTCAAGGAGATTGGTTCTGAAGCACATGCTGTGCGTTGAGGGTGAGCCCAACTTTATCTAGTTGGTACCCCTTTAACCTTACGCTCAGGCTCCTTCCCCGCCAGAGAACTTGCATTCCATGTCCCAAGAGCCAGCTTTGGTAAGCCTGGGTCAGAGCACCAAGGCCCCCACCTTTTGGCCGCTGCCCATGAAGTCATGCACCGGACTTGTATGGCCAGTGAAGGGAGGCCAGAATTAGAGTAATGTGCTCTCTTTTGCCTGTACCAGTTAAAAATCGGGCTGCAGCAATTTGAACCAGTTGTAAACGTGCAATAGAGGTCTGACTGATTCCAAAAAGAAGTGCATTGCAGTAATCAAGCCTGGATGTTATGAAAACATGTATTACTGTCTCAAGATTACATTTGGACAGTATGGGCTTCAATTTAGACAGTCTCCTCAAATGAAATAAACAAAACAAAGCAGGATTTAACAATCGTGTTTACATGACTGTTTAGCTTCATGGAAGGGTCCAGTTTCACTCTCAGATTAGTGACAACTTGTTTCTCTAATGTTGCTACAGGGGAAAGGTTGATACAGTGGTTCCTGATTGTCATTAGATGGAAACAATATGACTTCTGTCTTATTAAAATTTAAGAAATTTAAACATTTATACATTTTGTCATAGCAATTTCTGTGGTTTCTAAAGTCTGTTGGCCGTGGCAGCCATCATGAACTTGGTTAACTTCAAAGTTTAATCAAATGTAGATATACATTCAAGTGATTCTTTTCCAAAAGGTTTATGGAAATTTGTCCAATTGTTCATGACGTATTTCTATAAAGGGCAGCTGCACAAAGGTATTCACAATATATACCGCAAGTGTGATGAGATCATGCATAATGATATTTTTCATGGTTTTATCAAAATGGTTTCAACTGTCATTTCTCATCATATGATGATTTTTAGTTTACAACTCTGGCATGAACGATTGCAGTCCATGTATTCAAGGAATGCTAGGCTTTTAACAGTGTGAGCATCAGTGTTGATGCAGTCCATCTGTGCATTCACACCCTGCAGTCTGTGGGATGGTACAGTGTGCATTTAGCCATCTGTCCTGTTAATATACAGTCTCTTCATCCAACCTTCAAATACTTCTACAGAAAAATATAATTTACTCCATTGTAATTTGTCGAAATGCATAATCACCAGGAAACTCGGGTGTCTTTGTGTTTCTGCTGCAGTTCACAGAGGTGGGATCGTTTGAAACCGTGTGGCAGGTGAAGTTTTACAACTACAACAAAAGGGACCACTGCCAGTGGGGCAACAGCTTTAACAGCATTGAGTATGAATGTAAACCCAATGACACGCGCACGCTCATGTGGATCAACAAAGAGATGTTTGTCTGACAGCCAGAGACAGATGGGACCAAGAGATCTGGTGTGTACATAACAGGTTTGCACTCTTTCACTCATCTTCCAGCTACAGAAATTACTAAACGCACCGTTCTGCTCTTCTGTGCTGAAGCGGAATGTCTGTTCTGCTGCTGATCAAAACCTAAAGATGTTTCCAGACTTGTAATAAAGGATTTGTTTATTTAATCCTATGAAATGTGACCATATGAAATGCACAGCACCGATCAAGATAGAATTTGTACTTGAAAAATTATAAAATGCTTTTCGTTTGGCTGCTCCCTTTTGCAGTGGTCACCACACCAAGCAACTTGACATGATTTGACAATTTTTGCACCAGATGCCCTTCTTAATGCAAGCTGGGTTCAAACCTGCAACCTCAGGATTACAAGACCATCAACTCGACAGTCGCACTGCCACAGTCCCCCCCCCCCCCCCCCCAAAAAAAAAGACATTGAAGAGTTGTAAAGAAATGACATTACACAGTACAGTACCTATATAAAGTGTTATCTGTAATTCATATTAAAAGTCTAATGAAAATTTAATCTATTTTTTTCTACCAATTTGTAGCATGGTAAAGAACTTGGGCAACAGTTGTTGTATGCTCAGTCTTTCATCTCACCTGAAGCTTATATGGTAACACTTTACAATAATGTACACAAAATTTGATTAAGTACTAGGGAATACCACAACGAATCGTGAACGAATTGGGAGCTAATGGGTAGTTAACCAGTACTTACTGGGGAACACTCAGCCAAGCCTTATTATGGGATAACTGGTTAGTTACCTTATAAAATGAAGAGAAACTAATCAAGAACTAATGGGTAGTCACCAAGGCAACCAAAGAGAAACGAACCAGGAGCTAATGGGTAGTTAACTAGTACTTACTGGGGAATGCACAGCCAAGCCTTATTTGGGGGGCTACTGGTTTGTTACCACAGGAACAAACCAGTAGGTAAAGGTCAAGTAGAGATTAAGTAATGATTGGTTCCTCAGTAAGTACTTGGTATGATGCTTCACTACATCAGTGAACAAAATAATAGCCAGGCAATAATTTGGTACTCAGTGATAGTCAGACATAGTTAAGATGACAGCAGTACAAGATTATGAAATTAATAATGTCTTTCATCAATAGGTTTACAAAAGAGAAAATCCAATAAAATCAATAACCACTAGGAAGCAGGATTTTGACAATTACGAGCTGTGACCTCACTGGTGCAGGGTTTTATTCAGAACCCACATGGAGAATTTCTCGTGTTTCTGTGGCAACAGAAACGATAATCAAATTTTGTGTACCTTCTTGTAAAGTGTTTCCATTATGCTCCTTTTGCATGGTCACAAGTGTCTTGGTCTTTCTCACTATTCTTTCTGCATGGTCCACTCATTTGTATTTAGTTGGAATTACTCTGTAGAAAACTGATTTCCTTTTAACAGTAAAGAAAATTGATTTGCATTTTTATTTTTTGTCACAAATGCCAGTTTACATTGAGCAAGATTAATTTATATTAGCAATGAAAGCATAAAAAAAATCCAAGGGAGTAAAAACTGTTTTTAGAAAATGTAAATGTATTTTTGTGTGTACGTTTTCAGACTGGATTAACTCAAATTTTATGAGTCATGTAAATATGTACTGTAGTTTGTATGCCAACCCACATTTACTGTGTGTGTGTGTGTTTTAAGGATGGTGCTTGTATAGCCATGTTTTCTGTGTGTAATATTTTCCAACTATACATGCACAGTGTGGACTGTGAAGCATGTTCAGTGTGAATTGTTCACAGTAGGCGTAAACAATTTTGAATATAGATACAGCTGTGTATTTGTCCACAATTTGTTCTCTACTTCTACCTCTTCTTGTATCTTGCACTTGTATGCTTGTGTTTGTAAGGGAAAAAACAAGTTTTAATATTCTGAGCCTACACTGGTACTGGTATATCTAGCAAATGTTACTTGTGTGTAATTCTTGTGATCAGTTATGTAAAATAATATTTTATGTACAGAAAATCTTTGTTTAGTTTGTGTGTTTTGCTAGAAAAAAATAATCTATGCAAGATGTCAAAGCAACACAATAAAAAAAAGATTTGCAAATCTGTTTTTGCTAAATGTCTTTCCTACAGTGAAAGTGATGTTAACCAAAAAATAAACGTACATTTTGGTGTTTGTTATTATGAATGCATTTTTTATAATCTGTTATGTTTTTGCTTTTTTTTATTACTGTTAGAACTGAGTTAGGCTTTATTTTGCTTTTATTTTACAGCTGATATTACTGAGAACAACAGTCATTACTCAGCTCACTGATGTTTGTACTCTTCAGTCACAAATGAAACTAGCATTTCTTAACATTGCGTATCACAATCTGCTTTACATGCCAATGATTTTACCCAAGCTCTCATGAGATGAGTTAGTGCTCAGTTGTAACTACCACACAAAATAATAGCTCAATATCTGTAAAACTGGCTGATCCTTAGCAAAAGTAGTTTAAGTATACTACAAGTATGCTTATTTTACACTAAAAATGAGGAAGTGAACTTGAAGTTTACTTTTTATAAACTTTATTTGATATACTTAAAAATAGTGTAAAATGTCCCAATTTAGTCCAAACATGTATTAAATCAGTATACTTCTAGTACACTACAAGTATGGTGTGTAGTATACTTAACTTAAACTATACTTGCAAAAAATAAACTTCAAATGTACTACTTTTTTTCCAAGCTGTGGCGGCCATCTTGAATCAGAACGTCATCAAAAGCTCATCTGTTGTAGATGTTTGTCAAGTGATAACTTTCTGAAGAGTTCCATTCAAATCTGCCTCATGAGCCATGGTATATTTTGCTAACAGACCAATGATGCTTGCATGACTCTTTGGCCAGAGTGGGGCATGTGGACCCACTAACCCACCCCCTTGTGTGACACCGCTGCATGGAAATTCAAAGTACAAAATTTTCATCATATTTACCCGCTTCTGCCTTCGTGTCGCAGAGGTCACTGGTGCCCATGTCCTGCCATCACTGTGGAGAGGTGAGGGACACCCTGGACAGGTCTCCAGTCCGTCAAATGGACACATGAAGACAAACGAGACAACCATTCACTCACACCTAGACAATTTAGAGTTGCCAATCAGCCTAACATGCTTTTTAGTCTGTGGGAGGAAACCGGAGTACCCAAAGAAAACACAGGCATGCACAGAGAGAACATGCAAACTCCACCTAGAAAGGTCCCCAGGTGGGATTTAAACCGGTGACCTCGCTAACAGGCAATACTAACAGTGCCGCCCACAAAATGTTCAAGTTTCCCAAATTAAGAAGTTCAGGTATGATTAACGTGTTGTTTTAATGGTTAATAAGCACGTGGTTCTCCTTGAATAGATATGTATACATGTCTTATTTATACAGTGCCTTGCGAAAGTATTCGGCCCCCTTGAACTTTTCAACCTTTTGCCACATTTCAGGCTTCAAACATAAAGATATAAAATTTTTATTTTTTGTGAAGAATCAAAAAGTGGGACACAATCGTGAAGTGGAATGAAATTTATTGGATGTGTCAAATTTTTTAACAAAAAAAAACTGAAAAGTGGGGCGTGCAATATTATTCGGCCCCTTGTGTTAATACTTTGTAGCGTCGCCTTTTGCTGCAGTTCCAGCTGCAAGTCTCTTGGGGTTTGTCTCTATCAGTTTTGCACATGGAGACACTGAAATTATTGCCCATTCTTCTTTGCAAAACAGCTCGAGCTCAGTGAGGTTGGATGGAGAGCGTTTGTGAACAGCAGTCTTCAGCTCTTTCCACAGATTCTCGATTGGATTCAGGTCTGGACTTTGACTTGGCCATTCCAACACCTGGATACTACCTAGATATTTGTGAACCATTCCATTGTAGATTTGGCTTTATGTTTTGGATCATTGTCTTGTTGGAAGATAAATCTCCGTCCCAGTCTCAGGTCTCTTGCAGACTCAAACAGGTTTTCTTCCAGAATGGTTCTGTATTTGGCCCCATCCATCTTCCCATCAATTCTGACCATCTTCCCTGTCCCTGCTGACGAAAAGCAGGCCCAAACCATGATGCTGCCACCACCATGTTTGACAGTGGGGATGGTGTGTTCAGGGTGATGAGCTGTGTTGCTTTTACACCAAACATATCGTTTTGCATTGTGGCCAAACAGTTTGATTTTGGTTTCATGTGACCAGAGCACCTTCTTCCACATGTTTGGTGTGTCTCCCAGGTGCTTGTGACAAACTTTAAACAACATTTTTTATGGATATCTTTGAGAAATGGCTTTCTTCTTGCCACTCTTCCATAAAGGCCAGATTTGTGCAGTGTACAACTGATTGTTGTCCTATGGACAGACTCTCCCACCTCAGCTGTAGATCTCTGCAGTTCATCCAGAGTGATCATGGGCCTCTTGGCTGCATCTCTGATCAGTCTCCTCCTTGTTCAAGATGAAAGTTTAGAGGGACGGCCGGGTCTTGGTAGCTTTGTATTGGTCTGATACTCCTTCCATTTCAATATGATTGCTTGCACAGTGCTCCTTGGGATGTTTAAAGCTTGGGAAATCTTTTTGTATCCAAATCCGGCTTTAAACTTCTCCACAACAGTATCTCGGACCTGCCTGGTGTGTTCCTTGGGCTTCATGATGCTCTCTGCTTTGAACAGAACCCTGAGACTATCACAGAGCAGGTGCATTTATACGGAGACTTGATTACACACAGGTGGATTCTATTTATCATCATCAGTCATTTGGGACAACATTGGATCATTCATAGATCCTCACTGAACTTCTGGAGTGAGTTTGCTGCACTGAAAGTAAAGGGGCCCAATAATATTGCACACCCCACTTTTCAGTTTTTTATTTGTTAAAGTTTGACACATCCAATAAATTTCATTCCACTTCACGATTGTGTCCCACTTGTTGTTGATTCTTCACAAAATATTAAAATTTTATATCTTTATGTTTGAAGCCTGAAAAGTGGCAAAAGGTTGAAAAGTTCAAGGGGGCCGAATACTTTCGCAAGGCACTGTATATAAAAAACGCTTTCATTTTGCAGTAATACACAACTGCTGCAGTTCTTACAAGGAGGAATTCTTGGTGCAACCACAAAGTTCAGTTCCCTGGCGATGATCTGTCTCCTGCTGAGTGAGCTTTCTGTCACACAAATTCTTCACCCACTTTGTATCTCTGGTGTGCGACAGTCTTCCAGTGTGTTGTTTGCCACTGAGTGTGTTATTAGGACTGAGGTGAGCTTGGTGAGTTGCCAGCAAATTAAACTTTTTTGTTGTCAGGTCTTGACATGCTAAGCATGCCTGTTCTGTTAAGTCCATCACTTGCTGAAATGTAATCTGCTCTAGGAGTGCTGTTAGTTTTTGTAAGACATGTGCTTCTTCAGCCTCTAAAGCATTATTGGTAAAATTGGTCTGTCTCACAGGTTCATTCAGCTGCTAGGTCTGTACCTTCTGAAG